AGGGAAAGACGCCCAAAAGTCGGTCAATAAGGACAAAATAGGCCCACTGGAAGGCTCAGTAATCTCCACATAGGCCTACTGAAAGGCTCACGAACGAAAAAATTGGCCCACTGAAAGCCCCATAAAGACCTATAAATGAAACGTCAGAAATGACAAAATAGGCCCACGGAGGGCCCTTTAAACGAAAGAAAGCCCCAAACAACAAAATGGGCCCAATGTAGGCCTCATAAACGGTAACATTGGCCCAATTGACTACGGAAAACGACAAAATTGTCTCAATAAGGCCAAAGAAGCGACAAAATAGGCTCACTAAAGGCCTCAGAAACGACAAAATAGGTCCAGTAAAAGCCCCTGAAACGACAAAATAGGCCCAGTTAAGGACTCATAAACGACAAAATAGGCCCAGTTAAAGCCTCAGGAACGACAAATTAGGCCCATCAAGGTTTCAGAAACGATAAAATAGGCCCAATATACGATTTGAAACGACAAAATAGGCCCAATATGTTCAGAAACGACAAATTAGGCCCGATAAAGACTCAGAAACGACAAATTAGGCCCAATAAAGGTTTCAGAAACGACAAATTAGGCCCAATAAAGGTTTCAGAAACGACAAAACAGGCCCAGTAAAGGCTTCAGAAACGACAAAATAGGCCTAATATAGGGCCTCAAAACGACAAAATAGGCCCAGTCAATAACTCACAAACGACAAAATATGCCCAATTGGGCCAGGAAAACAACAAAATAGGCCCAATTGAGTTCGGAAAACGCCAGAATGGGCCCATTTAAGGTACATAAACGACAAAATAGGCCCAATATATGTTTAGAAACGACAAAATAGGCCCAGTAAAGTCTCAGAAACGACAAATTAGGCCCATAAAGCCTGAGAAACGACAAATTAGGCCATAAAGGTTTCAGAAACGACAAATTAGGCCCAATAAAGCCTCTGAAATGACAAATTAGGCCCAATAAAGCCTCTGAAATGACAAATTAGGCCCATAAAGGTTTCAGAAACGACAAAATAGGCCCAGTAAAAGCTTCAGAAACGACAAAATAGGCCTAATATAAGGTCGAAAACGACAAAATAGGCCCAGTCAAGAACTCAGAAACGACAAAATATGCCCAATTGGGCCAAAGAAAACAACAACATAGGCCCAATCGAGTTCGGAAAACGACAGAATGGGCCCATTCCAGGCACATAAACGACAAAATAGGCCCAATATATGTTTTGGAAACGACAAAATAGGCCCAGTAAAGTCTCAGAAACGACAAATTAGGCCCCTTAAAGCCTCAGAAACGACAAATTAGGCCCAATAAATGTTTCAGAAAGGACAAATTAGGCCCAGTGATGGCTTCAGAAACGACAAAATAGGCCTAATACAGGCCCAGTGATGGCCTCAGAAACGACAAAATAGGTCCATTGGTTCAGGAAAACGACAAAATAGTCCCGCTAAAATCCTCAGAAACGACAAAATAGCCCGGTAAAGTCTTCAGAAACGATAAAATAGGCCCAATCGAGTTCGGAAAACGACAGAATGGGCCCATTTAAGGCATATAAACGACAAAATAGGCCCAATATAGGGCCATAAACGACAAAATAAGCCCATTGAAGTGTCCATAAACGACAAAATAGACCTTTTGGGCTTATTGGGCCTATTTGTTGTCTATTGTTCAAGTTACTGGGCTGATTTCTGAGCCCATTTGAGCGTTATAGGGGCGACTTTTGGGGCCTTTTAGCAGGTAATTGGGCCCATATTTGGGCCTCCCTTCAAGTTAGTGAGCCTGCTTTCAATTTGTTGGCCCGTTGTCGGGTTGTTGGGCCAACATATGCGCTGAATTTCATGTAATTGTATATCTAGACCTTCGTTATTCGGAAAATATCACTTTTGGGTAACCACCCTTCTGGAGGTTTGGGGCATATTTAATGCAAGTTTATAACTCCAGTGGTGAAATATTGAGCGAGTTATATCAAATTTGATTTTACTAAATTTAAATTTTTTATCAATCGACCCAAATTTTAAAATAATGAGTTTGTAACGGTGAATGGATCCGCCATCAACAATACTAGAAAAAATTTGATGATACTGAAACACGGAATCGGACCTACTGGGAATTATGGGGCAGACCATTCAGTAATCCAGTGTCTTTTAACTCCTAACATGTAATGACGTTTCCATTTTAAAAGAAATTAAAATATCAGCTGGAAATTGAAAAATAAAAATAATCGAAATACTTAATCATAGAACTAAAACAAACTAAACAAAAAAGAGATTAGAAAACACTTGGAAAAACCATGCCAGCCGTGCTTCAACTCCAATCCTCTTTCCCATTTGACTTTCATCCTTTGCCTTCATTTTCCCACAGCCTAAACCGAAACATATGAAAGGAGATATGAGGAGAGAGAGAGAGAGAGAGAGAGAGAGACCATGCAATGCCGAAAAAAAAAACTGCAAACAATGACGGAAATTTGAAAAAGGCCAGAGAGAAAGAAGTAAGTCGATGTAGAACAAAGTAACACACTTGGATAGCCACCCAAAGAAAAATTAAGTCATGTAAAACCAAATGATATCACCTTCATGCTTCACAATTAAAAAAAAAGGTTTTTTTAGTCAAACAAGAAACTTTAGTTGGAGCAAGAAGAAAAGCAAGATTGAATGCATTATAGAGGCAGGAAAGAAACCTGTGAAACAAGGTTAAGCAACTGCTACACTGTTTGAAGGAAACCCATCCGTAAAATGTAACATCCCATAACCAAACTCGAATATCAATGAGGCTGAGTGGGCTCAGTTAAATGTATGACCTGCACATTCATCAATAAGGAATAAGAACCACAAAGAAGAAAAGGGGGGAAACTAAAGTCTGCTAAGAATATAAAGGGCCTTTTCTCATTACCAAATCAATTTTGTGCCAGCCACTAATGATTCATATATACACACACACACACACATGTACTAGACGCATCAAACAGAAGCCAAGCATGTAGATTACGATGACAGTCACCGTACGAAGAGACAAACTAAGGTGTGGGAAAGAGAATGGGCGTGCTAAAAGTGGATGCATGACCGTCAGGTAAGATAACCTGCTTGGATGCACGACTGGACATCAAAATGTGAGACTTTATGCATTATAAGCATCATTGACCAGAAGGCCAGCAAACCACCACATCATATGAGGCCAGCTCCATAATAGAATCAACGGAGATTTAAAAAGCAATCCATATAACTCTCAAGCCCTAAACTGAATAGAACTAAAAACTGTCCCACTTATAAAATGAAAACCTAAAGCGCATAATACCCTAGGGAGTTATTCGTGCATATTCCATAGACAAATTGAAAACCGAATGCTCGTTTTCAATCAACTCAACAATGGTTGAAACTCCAAAAGTAGCGTTTAAATATAAAGCAGAGAGGCTAAAGTAAAAACAAAGTTAGATAGATATGAACAAAAATTTCATGTATTTTACATCAGCAGAATAACTAGGTTAAATTAATCAAAATATTCCGATTAAAAAATAGTCAAAAACTGCCTACATAGGGAAATTGAACCTTTTCTTTTTCTCCAAACAGGTATGAAATGGATTCTTGCTACTAGATCGCTTCAGACTCTTACCGTAATCTGAGACAGATCCTGATCCGCGCGACATGGCTACGTTCTGGATTGTTGTCATCTTCATCGTCGACGCAGAGACCAACGATCTCACCGCTCTCTTTGCACCATCCGAAACCCTAAATCATTGCCTTGTTCGGATCCGGATCCAGCTCCGGACAAGGCAATGAAAATGATTTAGGGTTCGTATTTTGCCATAGGGCTCCATTCTCGAATGTCGTCTACCCAGAGACGCGAGCGACGGAACCTAGGGGTTCTCTACTCTCTCGGACTCTCTCTCGCTCTCTCGCTTTCTCGCTTGCAATTGGAAGTCAGATTTGATTGTAGAGACTACTAGAGAGATTTGAGAAGGCCATTTTTCGTATTTGCCCGGTTATGAAATGGGCCTTTTTGTTCTTTCCCGTTTTGGGCCTTTTTATACGAATTTCACCGACCCAACAATATTCTTCCTTTTCTTTTCTCAAGATATATGCATTTGTACCATAAATATAGAGGCAGCTAGCTATAATTTGTAAATTTTTTTTTATAGACTTTTTTTCCCATAACGTGGGCTTTATCAATTTGTAAGTTTCTTTTTAAATTTTTAAACTTAAAATATTGTTTTTTTTATACTGTTGTAACCTTTTAAAATATAGAGCTAACATCATTTTACGGCCTCAAAATTTGGGGTCATTTTTGAAATGGGTCACGAGGTTTTAATTTTGTCAATTTAAGCCCTAATGTTTTAAAATTTGACCAATTTACACATTCCGTCAATTTGACCGTTTGGTCTTCTGTTAAATGATGATGTGGCAAATGTGGGATCTATCTTTTTAGCTTAAGTGTAATAAAATATGTAACAAATAATATTAAAATTTTATTTATTTTTAAAGTTAATTAAAATCAATTATTTAAAACAACAAAAAAACTTTGACCAAACTCCCAAGCCGTCACCAACCAACTCCAAACCCAACACTCTGGCAGGAAGGTAAACTTTCAATTATTATTTGCATTTAGTTGCAATGACGACATCAGAATTAAAGAATTCTCATTCAAGTAAGAATGAACCTAATGAATGAGTTTGAATATGTATATGCTCTTTCGTGTGATCTAATAGGCCGGTCATTTGCAACATAAGAACTATGATTGGTTTGATATTTTCAAAGGAGAGAAGAGAGGGAAAGGACATGGACTTGTGTTGTGGAGAGTCTCTGTCACCTCCTTTCTCTCCCAACCTCAACGTTAATCAATGATTGGGCCCTCCTCCTCGTTTTTCTCTGCCATTTTCTCGCATCTGCATGCAGCATGCACCTCATTCTCCATCTCATATGCATCATGTCCAGTACTTGCAACATGCATGCACATATAATGCATAAACTCCCTTTAATTTGATTTTCTAGACCAAGAGTTCATGAAATCGGTTCATGTGTGATGTGAGATATATTGTATAGAGGAAACCAACACAGAGGACGAGAGAAATGGCAACGTTGAGCAAATTTTCTGAAGATATGATGGGGAATATCCTGTCGAGACTGCCTCCCAAGTCTCTGATGCGATTTAGATGCGTCCTCAAGTCGTGGCACGACCTAATCGATAAACCTAGCTTCGTGGACCAGCACCTTTCCACTTCTATGGACAACAAAGTCACCTCCTCCACTTACGTCCTCCTCAAGCACAATGTCCTCACGGACCCCAGCATTAAGGACGACGAGAAGGCAGTTAGAGCTACCCTCTTCAACCCCGACAGTGACCAAAGGGACATTTTACTCTCCTCAATTAATCTCGGCAGCCTTGTCGACGACGGTCTTGAGATTGAGAACCATGTCGTTCCGCCGCCTATGAGAGGATACGCATTGAGCCTAGAAATAGCAGGCTCTTGTGATGGCCTCATCTGCCTCAATACTTTTAACAGCGAGGAAATTGTTTTATGCAATCCAGCACTCGAGGAATACAGAGTTCTTCCCAAGTCTTGCATTCTTTTGCCTCCGCGAGTTCCACGTCAAGTTGAAGAAAATGAAGACGATGATTATTATGAAGAAGACGACGACGA